ACGTTGACCGAAGTCAAACTCAATCAATTAAATTCCAAGATTTAACAATTTTTCTCACAAATTTCATATTTAAACTTTTCCGGCTACGCGCCCGGACTGCGCACACAACTCGAGGCAACCCCAAATGAGGTTTCTAGGGCCTCAGAAGTACAGAGGGAGTAGGAATACAGGTGATGACCCTTTTGGGTCGTCACATTTACTTGATGAGGACTTGCCTTCTCCCTCTAAGATTTAGGGTATTTTTCGCATATATCCCTCTTTATTCGGCGGAACAACCCTTTCTTGCCAAACTGGTAGCGACCACTAAAAGCGTAACCGGAGAAGGGAACGTGGTCACTCCTCTCGACTCGTCGACCGTTCAAATCGAGGTAATGAACGCTTTCATTTTGTTTTAACTGACTATTTCTCTAAGTGGAATAGAAGTAGGAGCAATCACCTAGGAAACGCGTCGTACTTTCCAACGCAAGCAAAATTAAGCAAACTGGGACTCACCCATGAAACGTAGAAGCTAAGCAAAACTGGGACTCCCCCAGAAGACACCGAAACTTTCCAAAAAAAAAGAAAAGCAAAATCAAGTATGCCAAGATCCGCTCCGATGTCTACGGACAGTATGGTAGCCTATGATTCGCCAAAATCTGACAATGACACAACGGGTTAACATTTCGACATCAACTCGAAATAATACCCCTACGGCCAAGGGCCATCTCCAGAAATAAGAGTTCGACCTCGCTCGAATTACAACGGGTTAACATTTCGGCCTTAGCTCGAAATAACACCCCTACGGCCAAAGGCCATCGCCAAAAAGAAGAATTCGACCTCGCTCGAATTACAACGGGTTAACATTTCGGCCTTAGCTCCAAATAACACCCCTACGACAAAAGGCCATCGCCAAAGAGAAGAATTCGACCTCGCTCGAATTACAAAGAATCAACTTCGGCCTCGTCCGAATCAACTTTGGCCTCGTCCGAATCAACTTTGGCCTCGTCCGAATCAAATTTTGGCCTCGTCCGAATCAACTTCGGCCTCGTCCGAATCAAACTTCGGCCTCGTCCGAATCAACCTTCGGCCTCGTCCGAATCAACTTAGACCTCGTCCGAATTCACATTCGGTCTCCTTGCCCGAATTCACATTTGGTGACCTTGCCCGAATTCACATTCGGCGACCTCGCCCAAATTCACATTCGGCGACCTCGCCCGAATTCACATTCGGGGACCTCGCCCGATTTCACATTCGGAGACCTCTCCCGAATCAACATTCGGCGACCTCGCCCGAATCAACATTCGGCGACCTCGCCCGAATTCACATTCGGCGACCTCGCCCGAATTCACATTCGGTGACCTCACCCGAATCAACATTCGGCGACCTCGCCCGAATTCACATTCGGCGACCTCGCCCGTATCAACATTCGGCGACCTCGCCCGAATTCACATTCGGTGACCTCGTCCGAATTCACATTCGGCGACCTCGCCCGAATTAACATTCGGCTTCCTCGCTCAAATTAACATTCGGCCTCCTCGCCCATCCAGATCCGAGGACGCGAATGACCTCCTCCGATGCTGCCATCCTGGCCTCGACGACCTTCTCCAACTCTACCGTCTTGTCGATCGACTCATCACTCGAGTCATTGGCCCTTATCAAACTCTGCTCAAGTTCAGCCCGCGGGGATACCACTTTGACCTAAAGATCGGCACCCTCAGCCGCGATCCACACTAGTCGACCTCCCCATCCGAATTTCTCGAACTACGATTAATGAAGCCCGCTCACCGAGCTCGACCAAAAGACAACCTCGATAAGCGGAGGGACTAACTGTATGGGTCAAAATCATATCAGAGAAATTGGGCATGCGGAGACAATAGGCCGAGGTCAGGCAGTCATCAACAAGGCCGAGGTCGGGCAGTAATCAATAAGGCCGAGGTCGGGCAGTCATCAATAAGGCCGAGGTCGGGCGATCATCAATAAGGTTGAGGTCTGGCAGTGATGAAACAGCTAGTTTTCTTTGGAATCCTCAAAAGAAATATTCTACTAAATATTCCCTCTAATTGTACTTTTTTTAGGGTTTTCTCGGGATACCCTTATAAATAGGAGCAGAGGACTTCCCAAAGGGGGGGGGGGCTCTCTCCCTCTCCCTCTCTCCAAGAAAATATGTAAACACACCTCTCTAAAGAGATCAGAGGATCTATGATCCCAGACCTTCATCAGATCCAAAAAGGGTCCTAAGATTTCATGTATTTGTCTATCATTCATCTTTATCAAATGAAAGAGGATCCGCCTCACTCAAGATTGGGTGAATCTTTTCCTTTATTTACATTTTATTGTCATTTAATGTTACTTAATGCATCTATTAAATCTGGCCATAATCAGTGCAATATTTATACTCAGCTATGTTTTTCTATTCATATTATTCATCCCGGATCTAGAGTTAATTATCCTAAACTATGATTTACCTTCCATCTTCTTATTTAATTAGTTTAACAAAAAAGGTCTCATACTTTTTTTCTCAAACAGAAGTATAATTGTTTATTTAAAATGAAAGACTTTTGAAGAAATAATATATAGAGATACTAGGTGGGGGTTTGCCAAACGGTCCTCATGATTGGAGAGAGTACCGGGGGGTGAAAGGTGAGGTGATGAAAAGACTACTAGATTTTTTTGCCCAACCAAACACATTAAGCCTGCTTATTATCCGCTACATCACTTCCATTCAAATATGCAACTACTCATTTTAGCGTAAAAATAGCATGGGCTAGCTAGTTTTCGAACTGGTCATTAAAAAATAGTCAGTAAAGTCATTAAAAAATAGCCACTATTTTACTGCAACACGGAAAGTTCCAGCATAATATACTGGAGATCGATGCACCTGTGTATGAACTTCCAGCATATTATGCTGGAACTCCAACACGTGGAAAGTTTCAGTATAATATACTGGAGATTGGAGCACTAGTGCTCCAATCTCCAGTATATTATGTTGGACAGGTATATTATGCTGGAACTTCCAGTACTGGAATTCCAGTATATTATACTGGAGTTCCAGTATATTATACTGAATTCCAGAATATTATACTGGAGTATTTTTCCGGATTTTGAACAGCGTTTTCGTTCAGAATTATCTTTACATGAAAAGTGGCTAAATTTCGATTACTTTTCAAACTGTGGGTATTTTTGAATGACCACTTGTAAATCTGGCTATTTTTGAATTTCTCCCTATTTTAGCACTTGATTATTAACAAACTTTTAAGGGATTTTCTCGTTTCTATACACTATTTGAAACTTTATTACCCTTAATGTTCATGTTTAGCTAATTACCTGGCATAAATAAGTTTTATTTACAAAATATATACAATCCACCTTAAAAGGCTCCCAAATCCATTATTTGTGCCTTCAATCAAGGAATTTAGTTACACCATGTTTCTTTTTTTTCTTCTTCTTCTCTTTCCTTATTTTTCCGATATTATTTCCGCTACCGTTATGTGGATTGATTCCCACATTTCAAGAAAAAACAATCATAATCTTCTTTTTCACCCCTCCTCTTTAATACTATGAAAGCCTATCGCGTCATAAAAGAAAGAAAAGCCATTACACTCGTAGGACACAATTGCACAGAAAACCTAGAATCGAGTCAAAAGCAACAAATTAATTCATCTACTAAAAAATTATGAATCTAGATATAAATACTGATAAATTATTCTCTAATAGCAAGCAAAGTTGTTTCAAATTTTATATTAAGGAAAAGTATATGTGAGTTATGTCCAAAATGCAACTCAACGTACCAATATTGGATTAGAATTGTGTTTTTGGCACCTTTGAGGTGCAGGAACCTTTACAAGTTCGTCACAGGCTGGCTCGAAAAATTATGTAAATTATTAAACCAGACTCATTATTTTTATTTCTACCCAATTATATATCATACAACTTATCTACACTTTCATACATTATTTCTACCCAGTTATATACAACTACAATAACATACAACTTAAATACAAATTTTATACAAAATTTATACAATATGTCTTTTGTATATTTTGTATCTGATTTATACATAGTAAAAATAAATTTCATACAAGTAATTATATATTATACAACTTATCTTTAAGTTATCTACAATTTTCTTACATTATTTCTACTCAGTTATATACAACTACAATATCATATAACTTAAATGTAATTTTTGTACAATATTGTTCAACTTTCATACAAGAAGAAGAAGACATAATGTATATCATGTCGTCTTCTTCTTCTTCTTCTTCTTCTTCTTCTTCTTCTTCTTCTTCTTCTTCTTCTTCGAGTTTCAATATGAAATTCAGCCAAAATCAAGTCTAATCTTCACCAAAACACCCTCAAATTGAGATATAAACTCCAAACCATATTCTCAATTGTTTGCAACAACACCCAATCCAAACAAATAATGATTTTTGAAAATCCAAATTCGAATTCAAAGTTTCAAAGTTTTTTAATGGCTGTCAATGGTGGAATTGCTGCTCTCTTTTCCTTTGCTTTACATTACTGAAATTAGGGATTGAGAGATAGAGAGAGACGTACAGAGATTCCCAATTCTTTGCAACAACATCCAATTCAAAGAAATAATGTTTTTCGAAAACCCAAATTCGAATTAAAAGGAAAGTAACAGAACAAAAAGCTAAACTTTTTCTCTGACTTCGAATGTGTAGGCAACCAACTAGATTGTGCAAAATATCGCAGTGAACTTACAAAACTTTGAACAACTAATAACTATTTTTGTTGACTGATCTTCGAACCATCAATTTTGTTTAAATTGATTCAAAGTTTCAAAGCTTTTTAATGGTTATCAATGGTGGAATTGCTGCTCTCTTGTGCAAGATGCGTGGGGGAGGGAGGTGGGATGTGGAGAAACATGGGGGGGAGGGGGGGGGAGTGGAAGATACATTAGAGTGATTTTAGCACACTAATTATTATCATTAATTCCCTTAAAATGTACATAAATGGTAATTGGGTATATAAAATGTAATTATAGTAAAACTTGAGTAGGGTGGATAATATAGTTTCATATAGTGTATAGGAATATAAAAATCTCAACTTTTAATAAGCGAATTCAAACGGGCTCTAAGCCCATTCTATTTCTCTCTTGACAACTATTACACGAGAAGCAATCTGAACCTGGAAAACTGAACTCAATCATAGCAACATAATATACTAAAAGAGCCAAGAGTTTGATGAAGTTTGTTAGTGTATACTGCAAACAGCAATCATGTCTCAAATAAACTACAAATACAGCACTATATAATCACGTCTGCCATATTTGTAGCACTCTAATCGTCATCCTCAAGAACGTTCCGACGCCTCTGGATCTGAGAAGGGGACAGAACAAACACGCAAGAAGATTCAGGTTCTGCTTTATGAATGGAAAAGGATCAAAAATCAGAGCAGAAGAGCGACTTACTGTTACTTTCGTTTGCTTAGTAGTTTGGGTGTTAATTTGTTCAAGTAATTGTATAAGTTTCTCTTCAGAAACCTACAAAAAGTAAAATCATTTCAAGCAAAGCAGTAAGGGCAACCATACAATAACCAGATAAAAGGAAAAGATTAAAGAAAAGAAGTAGGTGGAATACACAAACAGCCCATCAGCTTGTAAGGGCAACCATACAATAACCAGATAAAAGGAAAAGATTAAAGAAAAGAAGTAGGTGGAATACACAAACAGCCCATCAGCTTGTTAAAGAATTTCCTATTAGACTTCAACAGAGGTCATGATCTATTGAATATGTTGTCAGATATGTGCCTATTAAACCCTTCAAGATCAGCAAGTCAAATAAACAAAACATTGTAGTATAAACGCGGGTGACATGGCTATAAACCAATAAAAAAGAGACATGCCTCTGTTAAAATAAAGTTAAGAAAAGACACAGAAAATACATGTAATTAAGCTGCTTCTTTTTCACCCTTGGGAAAATGAAGCGAAGGCATTCTAATGTGAAAAGTGTTCGTGAGGGAGTGAATTTGTTCTCTGTGAAGAACGGGTTAGATGGGGCACATCAGTTTTATGATTCCAGATCCTCGGTACTCATACCCGTCAACATATAGCTCTTACTTCACTAAGTATTCTTAAAATTTAAAAAGGTTACCAGCTACAGTAACTAACTATGTTTCTTATGCTAGGAAAGATTTCAAGTGGTTTTACCTTTTTTTTATAAGGTAAATTGTATTAATCAAAAGGGAGAAAACTCCCGTATACACAGGAAGTATACGAGAAAGTAGAGATAGATTTACATCAGAACATGATTCTCTAAAAAAGACGCCCAATCTTCTATACAAGTAGGGGCTATATGAGTGCACCAAAAAGCGATCAAAGATAAAAGACTATTCTTAAGATGTGAAAAAAGGAGACTATCCACATGAGAGCTAACGGGGCGAACTTCCACGCCTTTTGCTTTCTTCTTCTGCGGAAACCGGCCCAGCTATATAACATTTCCTTTACAGTGCTTGGCATCACCCATTGAACACCAAAAAGATTCAGGATTGCCCTCCAAGTGGTTTTACCTTACGCAGGTGGTGGTGGATGTGAGGTAATTCCGTGTATTATGTGTGGTGACTGTGAGACCAGATGAATCATCTGGTGATTATCCTTGAGATGAAAAAGGTAGGTCTAGTGTTGTGGATGATTCAAGCGAGTGTGTGTGCCTACCGGTGTATGATATCTTACAGAGAGCCATGTGGTGTGTTTGTGCAAGTGGAAAGAGAGTAAGGTACGTGGTGGTAGCTGGCATGTTGAGGGGGAAAACTGAGAGAATGAAAGCCATGGTGTTTTAGAAGATGAAAGTTTAGAATAAAGATGACAGTGAGTAAAATTCAACCCATGTTGCTCTCCTCCGATCTGGAATTCTACACTTTGGGGTTTAAATCTTGTATGAGTTTGAATAAGGAAGAGGAGTTTTTTGAGGTTTGAATCTGGTAGGGGTTTGCAGGCAGAAAAATAAGAAGACAATGAGCTAAAATTGGCTGAAAACACATGTAGTAACCGGAAATTCAACTATTCCAGTTAAAAAATTCATATTTTCAAGCAAACCGAACTCAAAACGAGTGAGAAATACACGAGCTGCCATATTCAGCAAAAACGTGTCTATTAGGCACATTTTACGCACATGTTGTGGCCAAGAGGTCATGGGCCTGAGTTGAGAAGTCTAAACGTAAGTTTTTGACAAGTTTGAGGGGCTATCTATGTATTTTGCCAAAGAAGTAAAAAAAAAAAAAAAATTACCTTTTCTGTGATCTGCCCATACTGAGCAGCTCTGAGTATAACATCTTCCACTCCTCTGGCCTTGTCAGGCTTCACAAGAGCAATTCGAGCAACTGCTCATACAAAATGAAATCCAGGCCACAGGTTATATGATAAGAGTAAGAAGAACATAGGGAACCAGTAACTCGTAATAAAATCAATGGAAATAGGTAAATTATCAAAGAACAACAAAATAGACATGAAACATTAACAGGACTTGAAAAGGTAGACCTGCTTCATTGTGTTGTTAAAGCAAGTACTTGAAAATGAAAGAGCAAAGACCCACCAACTTTTCTAGTCATAATGCCTTGCCAATTAGAGCAACTAATCAACTATATAGAATACCTACTTAACAGAATAAGGGCCAATAACTAATTTCTTTGGCCAAGAACTATTACACTAGATCATTAGATAAGAAAGGATGTAAGCATATCCATTAGTTTTCTCTTAGAAGGAGCACTTCGAGGTAACAAATATGCATCACTGATGATGAAGGAGCTCTTTATATGTAGAGGATGACCGACACTTTTTTATAAGGTAAAGTTTTATTAACAAAGTAACAAGATGGTACATAAATAGTACATGACTAATCAACCTCAATCAAACTAAGCTACATGTTCCCTCCCAGCACATACAAGAAATCTAGATATTGATCCATACTCTCTACTTTTCTTTTTTTGATAGTGACAAGACCAGCTTGTCCGCACCTCAACTAATTCTAAAGGGTACGTGCTACCTCCTACCAGCACAAGTACCAATTAGCTCTGTCCACCAAGGCTTGGACAGATAGAAAGAATTCACCTAGTGTTTTTGACTCCGATGAAATATGAACCTGAGACCTCATGGTTCTCAACCCACTTTATTGACCACTTGGCCACATACTTAGGTGCTTTGATCCATACTCTGGTTATATTGCCATAAGCGAAATTCTCCTACTTGTTAAGCCCCGACGTAGCTTGGATATAGTTTCAACTTTCAATTTGACAAAGTGAACTCGCAAAACCCAATGTACTTGCTTGCAGATAATAGAGCATGGAGAACTGATATTAGACTTAACTAGTAGGGTACCCGCGCGATGCGCGGTCAATATTAAAAAATATTAATTAAATTAAATTCAATTATGAACGGGCTTGTTTGAACATATCAGATCGTATTGCTTTAATATAATCCAATTGCAGACTTATTTGTCAATATGATACGCCAATAATAAAATCCCTATTAAATTAAAGGGACTTATATAGTCACTGAATAAATTTTTAGTTCTATATTTTTCTTTATTCTATTATCAATGTTTAGTATTTTTAAATTGTTAATAAAAAATTTTATTAGCATATTACTTTGTTTAATATTTTTATATGCTCGTGTTTTTTTGTAATATAAGAGAAGATATATATTTTATTAATCTTGAAATATTTTTTATTTTAAATTTTATTCTGTTGTTGTCAATAATATTATCAGAATTTTAATGAATAAAATCTCTATTAAATTAAAGGGACTTATATAGTCATGGAATAACTTTTTTGTTATGTATCTTTCTTTATTATATAATAAATATTTAATATAATTACATTGTTAATAAAAATATTTATTAGCATATTAATTTGTTTAATTTTGTTAGCATATTAAAAAATTTATTAAAGAGATTTTTTATTTTATGTAATTTTAGGTTTTAGAAATATATATATGTTCTTTTTTTTTCTTTATTATATTAGCCATTGTTTAGTATTCGCTTTCTTTTTGTAATATATGAGAAGATATATAATTTATTGGATGAAATATTTTTTTGTTTTAAATTTTATTCTATTGTTCTTAATAATATTATCTAAATTTTAATGAATAAAATCTCTGTTAAACTGTCGGGAGTTATACAGGGAGCGCATTGAATAAATTTTTTGTTATGTATTTTTCTTTATTATATCATCTAATATATAATATTATTACATTTTTAATAGAAATATTTATTAGCATATTACTTTATTTAATATTTTTCTCTGAAAGTTTTTTAATTTCTTTATTTTCGTTTTTTTATTTCAAATTAATTTTTAAAACTCCAATTTGAAACTACTCCCAAATTTGAATTGGTAATTCATTATTTTTTTAATTTAATTTTTTTATTTTAAATATTTTTAAAACTCCAACTTGAAACTACTTCTCGATTTTAATGGGTAGTTCTTCTCTTTTTTCATTTTGTATAGCTACTTTTTTTGCCTTTTATTTAAAATAAATTTAAAAACTACAACTAAACTGACTTTCCACCCCAATTTGAATGGGTAGTTATTTTTTTATATATTTATATTTTATTTTTTTATATTTAATTATAAGATATCTATATTTATTAATCCAAATAAAGTAACCAATTAATACATACATACATACATACATACATACATACATACATATATATATATATATATATATGGTAGTTTTTTATTTTATTTTATTATTTTCATTTTTTATATATATTTAAATTCAAAAATAATAACCAATAACTAATTATAAACTAAATAACTAATTATGCCATGTGGCATTTTTTTAGGTTGCCACTTGGCTGAGGAGAGGACTTTTTCCTCTCCTTTTAATAATATATAGATCAAACATTCCTCCAGTCCCAAATTGAATTCCGCTTTCACTTAGGCCACATAGTTATCGAAAGCCATCGCTTGTGTCACTTAAAGTGATGGAAAGCGAGGAGTTATCACTTCATGGGTGAAGGCATGCGCTTCAAACTAGTGATCCAATCGAAAACGGGTCAATTATTTTAATCTCAACTTTGAGTAGTTGGATCAATATCGACATTACCGAATATTGGATGCTGAAATTAATTAATTTAATTATTAAAGTACTAAATTTATATGTCAGGTTCCGATTCAAGCCTCACAGATCTTTTTGCTTTAAAAACACTGCTTAGGTCAGCCCAGAATAATACCTTACGTGAAAATAAAAAGTTTCCTGTATGGCATATACCACAAAAAAGTAACACCAGACTGATTTTTACTCATCATAATACAGCTTTTTCTCTAAGCATTCTTCAAAACCAAAATTAAACATACACTTTTCCCTCAGGAAACACCACAACATACATTCTTTATTGCTAATCCGTAAAGTCAAAAGCTGCTAATTGTATAGGAAACTGAAAAGGAAAATTGGGACAATTTGGTTTTGCACAAAATCTGGACTAACTCTCAATTTCCTCTATCCCCCAAGACAATTTTATGATGCCTTGCCTTGAGGCAAGCCTCAAGCCGCACCTTAGAAACGCCTTTGAAAACGTCGAATCTTATTCACATGGAAACTAAGAAACAATATATGGCGTTCTGTTGCATCATATATGTTCTAGTTACAAGGTCAAAATGTTTAAGCAATATACGCTGCATCTGAATTGAAAGTCAGGTTTTACATCAAAAATAAAAAAGATGCTTTATTATTAAAATTGTTATGAGAAAAATTAAATTACGGTGGATGTCTACTCTTCTCCATAACCTCCCCCATGATCTTCCTCTCAAGTGCTTAATGACATATTTATGCAGTGACCATTTCTCTCAATGGTGGTCATTCCACTCAATAGTAATTCTTAACTTTTCATGCCTATGTAAAGGCCTTGTAATAGAAAGAAAAAATAACACAATTGAATAAGAAATAAGAATCTCTCCTCTCTTAGCTTGTTTTTCCTTGTTCTATAATGTTACTTTAAGCTGTATTTCATAACACGTTATCAGCACGAGACTCTACCGTCTCAAGAAGCTCCTAAGGTATAATTTTTCTCCTATTTTAATAATGAAAAGAAAGTTCGTTGCCCTTGAAATTTCGAGCAAGAACTATATGACATGGGTGTTGGATGCTGAAATCCATTTAGATGCAATGGGTCTTGGAGATGCCATTAAAGATAAAATAAAGCATCTACCCAAGACTGTGCTAAGGCCTTAATTTTCTTGCACCATCACCTTGATGAAGGGTTGAAAATGGAATATCTCACGGTCAAAGATCCACTTGTTTTGTGGAATGGCTTAAACAAAAGATATGACAACTTAAAGTTGGTCACTCTTCCACAAGCACGATATTATTGGGCTCATCTGAGGCTCCAAGACTTTAAGTCCGTTTCTGAATATAATTTTGCGATGTTCAAAATTACTTCTAAATTGAAACTTTGTGGAGATAATATCACTGACTATGATATGCTTGAAAAAACATTCACAACGTTTCATGCCTCCAATATGGTCTTGCAACAACACTACCGAGAGAAAGGTTTCAAGAAGTGCTCTGAGTTGATTTCTCTTCTCTTTATGGCGGAACGAAACAACAACATGCTTATGAGAAATCACGAAAATCGACCCACTGGGTCTACACCATTGCCTGAAGTGGATGAGGTGTATTCCCATCATGCTAAGCGTGGAAAAGTCCGTGCCAAAGAAGAAATTTTCTTGGTGTTAATCATTCCGCAAAGAAAAATAACTACCAAAAGTTGAAAGGGAACGATGAGAAGCCAAAGGCAACGGGTTCGGAAACTGAATGCTAGCATTGCAGTGGAAAAGGGCATTGGACAAATATTTGTCGCGCACCAAAACATTTGGTTGAACTTTATCAAGCATCTCTAAAGAATAAAGGAGGGCATTGGGCAAATATTTGTCGCACACCAAAACATTTGGTTGAGCTTTATCAAGCATCTCTAAAGAATAAAAGCCTTAAGCTAAAGTCTTGGAGCCTCAGATGAGCCAATCATATCGTGCTTCAGGGCCTTTATTCTTTAGAGATGCTTGATAAAGCTCAACCAAATGTTTTGGTGTGCGATAAATATTTGCCTAATGTCCTTTTCCACCGCAACGATAGCATTCGATTTCTGAACCCTTTGCCTTTAGCTTCTCATCGTTTCCTTTCCACTTTTAGTAGTTATTTTTCTGTGGGAAATGATTAACACCAAGAAAATTCTTCCTTGGCCACGACCACAAACAGGGCCACGACCTTTTCCACGCTTAGCATGATGGGAATACACCTCATCCACTTCAGGCAATAGTGTAGACCCAGTGGGTCGATTTTCGTGAGTTCTCATAAGCATGTTGTTTCGTTCCGCCACAAAGAGAAGAGAAATCAACTCAGAGTACTTCTTGAAACCTTTCTCTCGGTACTGTTGTTGCAAGACCATATTGGAGGCATGAAACGTTGTGAACGTTTTTTCAAGCATATCATAGTCAGTGATACTATCTCCACAGAATTTTAATTTAGAAGTAATTATGAACATTCCAGAATTATATTAAGAAACAGACTTAAAGTCTTGGAGCCTCAGATGAGCCCAATCATATCGTGCTTGTGGAAGAGTGACCAACTTTAAGTTGTCATATCTTTCCTTTAAGCCATTCCACAAAACAAGTGGATCTTTGACTGTGAGATATTCTATTTTCAACCCTTTATCAAGGTGATGGCGCAAGAAAATCAAGGGCTTAGCACAGTCTTGGGTAGATGCTTTATTTTATCTTTAATGGCGTCTCCAAGACCCATTGCATCTAAATAGATTTCAGCATCCAACACCCATGTCATATAGTTCTTGCCCGAAATTTCAAGGGCAACGAATTTTTTTCCTAATTAAAAGGGGAGAAAAATTATACCTTAGGAGCTTCTTGAGACTGTAAAGTCTCGTGTTGATAACATGTTATGAAATATAGCTCAAAATAACAATATAGAACAAGGAAAAACAAGCTAAGAGATGAGAGATTCTTATTTCTTCTTCAATTATGTTATTTTTCCTATCTATTACAAGGCCTTTATATAGGCATGAAAAGTTAAGAATCACTATTGTAAAATAGTGAGTGTTGGAATGGCCACTATTTAGTGAAATGACCACTATTGAGAGAAATGGCCACTATCGAGTGGAACTGTCACTACATAAATATGTCATTGAATATGTCATTAAGCATTTGAGAGGAAGATCATGGGTGAGGTTATGGAGGTAATGGAGAATAGTAGACATCACCATAATTTAATTTTTCTTATAACATCGGTGATGGGCCCGTGGTTAAAGATGATTGAGTAGTTTGATTAATGTTTTTTTTTGCATATTCGTAGTAACTAGTGAATAAACATCATGTAATCATAGTTATTTACATGAGTAGTAGCCATTAGTATCAATTAGTACTATTTATTTTATGGAATAATGTTAGTTCGTTTTAATTAAATATAGTTCTAGTATTCTAAAATAGATTTATCGGCACTTATAATATTTGTGTTCAAGCAAATGGTTTGTCAGCCTATAACATTTGTGTTCAAGAAAATGGTTTTTCTAAAACATACTTGTTGGAAAAATTATTTGAGACTATTTTGTTTCAAATTGTTTTCTTAAACGTCAATCTTTAAACCAAATGAATAGAAATGACTTGCCTCATATTTATAGCTTGCATCATTGATTCATGTAATTAGCTATTTTTCCTGCACATATATTTAATTCTTAATATATATCCCTTAATTGTTTCAACCAACGTATAACTTCTATACCTTTGAGTATTTATACTAGTTGGAGAGTTTGACTTGGTATTTGTAGTCATAATCTGAGTTTGCTCGAAATTGCATTAAAAGGTCATTATTGAATAAATGGTTTAAATTTATTTCTTTATTTTTTCTCTCAAAATATTAATATTTATTCATATATTTCTTTTGTATGTCAAACCATGAGAAGCAAATATGGATATCTCTCAAAGCAAACTTGGATCAAAGTTCAATTGTAAGGCACATACAATTGGATCAAAGATTTGTTTAATTGATTCATGTACGACACATACAATATTCAAAGAGAAGAAATATTTCTCTCATTTAAGAATGTGTAAGGCAGATATTACTACAATTTCTGGTAGTAATCTAATTGAAGGCTCTAGAAGAGCTACTATAACTTTGCCTAAGGAAACAATACTTATCATAGAGAATGCAATGTTCTCCTCCAAGTCCAAGAGGAACTCGTTGAGTTTTAAAGATATCCGCCGAAATGGATTTCATATTGAGACAATAGATGAGAACAATCTCGAATATCTTATCGTTACCAAGAATGTCTCTAGTCAAAAAAGGGTTATTGAGAAGTTCTCATCTTTATCTTGTGGCCTGTATTGGACAAGAATTAGTGCAAGAATAATGCGCGGTGTAATCTTTTTCCCTTATAAGGTTTTGTCCCACTGGGTTTTCCTTGCAAGGTTTTTAATGAGGCAACCAAAAAGCGTATTTCTAAACATGTGTACTCTTTTTCCTTCACTAGAATTTTTTTTTCTAATAAGGTTTTAACGAGGCACATTATCTATGGACTTCCACGAGGGAGTGTTATAAGAAAAATTAAATTATGGTGGATGTCTACTCTCTCAATTATCTCCATAACCTTGATCTTCCTCCGTGATCTTCCTCTCAAATGCTTAATGACATATTCAATGACATATTTATGTAGCGACCATTCCATTCAATAGTGGCAATTTCTCTCAGTAGTGGCCATTCCACTCACTATTTTAGAATAGTGATTCTTCACTTTTCATGCCTATATAAAGGCCTTGTAATAGATAGGAAAAATAACACAATCGAAGAAGAAATAAGAACCTCTCCTCTCTTTCTCTCTATATCTCTTAGCTTGTGTTTCCTTGTTCTATATTGTTACTTTGAGTTATATTTCATAACAAAAATAGTGTAATTACCTTCAAAGATTTTAAGATGCTTCTAAAGTATAGACTCTTACCATGTAAATTTAGGATTCCAAAGTGGTGAAATTTACTTTTGACAAACTAGATACTCTATCCAACATATTAAGAACCAACGTACATAAATTTGAATATAAACACAAAATTAAACCAAAAAAATGGAGAACTTAATTCATAAAGGCTAAGTCATCAAATTTGGAGAAGAATTCGTAAAATGCACCTACCTCTAGCCCTTGCTTCAGAAGTCAGAATCTGAGTAAGCATCATTTGCCTTCGCTCATCAGCCTCCCTACATCAATCACTTCTATAGTTGATATCAAACATTGAAAGCAAGAACTAATATAATACTAACAATGAACCACATATTGAAGAAACCAGCTACAAAAAATGAACCTTTTAGCTTCATCCTGGGCTTTCTGCTGGTCAGGGTTTTGCTGACTTCCCTATTTGCCCAAATTTACAGTTAGTGAAGATATTGTAAGGTTCAAATCTTGACAAGGTATGACTCAAACCCAAATAACAGAAAGCATATATACAGAGAGACTATTATGTACCATGCTCTGTTGAGCCATGAGCTCCTGCATTCTCCTTTGCCTGATAGCTTCTAATTCTGGGTCAGCCTACAAAAATTGCAACAAAAAGAGGGAGGAATCAGTCTCTCATAACAAACAAGATCAAACATTTTCAAGCTTCAAAATTAACCACTGATTCCAACAATAGTCCAACTAAAATAAGCTTCACTAGAATTGGTAAACTAATTTTAAAGTCAATAAACAAATTCCTTAATGCATTATAGCCAAAACCGAAAAAGGAAAAATTCCAAAGAAAAATGCAATCCCCAACTTTACTCCCAAAATACACTAAGGCACTGTTTCCACCGAGATTCATACAAACTCTAACTGTCCCTTATTCCCTTTGTCCAGAAAAATTAGCAAATTTCAGATGGCAAAAAAAGGTAAAAAAGTCATCAAAATTCAAATAAATACCAGAAAATTCATAACTTAATATAGAAGAGAAACCAGGATTAGACATAAACCCAGAAAGAGAAACAAAGAGAAGTAACCATTTTTGGAACTGCGAGAGCCCTAAGCAGAATAAATAGTCGTCGAGATTAAAACGCTAACATTCATTGATCCGAAATTGTGTTTAGAGCATGAAGAAAACGTAGAGAAACAAGCAGGGATATGTGAGATTACCATCTTTTAGTAATGAATTTGAGCAACTGAATTGCAGGAATATTGGAAGAGAAGAAGAGGGACACACCGCGTTTGAAAGACGCTGTGTTACTCTACTTGTATGCGTATCCGGTTCGTTTATAACAGTAGGCCAACCAAGCTGTACCCAACCGAACCTAGCGTCGAATCAAATTATTTTTCTTTCGCTCAATCTATAAAATTTTCTTTCACTCATACTATGCTTTTAATAAAAACTTAATTCATATTAAACTAATTGATTAACGAAAAATATAAACACTAATAGCTTAAATTGATATCTGAAATCAAATGAGATTGGATGATATACTAACGTAGTTGTTTAATTAGAACTCAAATTGAATTTCATTACTTAAATATTGTGCTTAAAAATTCAAGAAAAAAAACAAAGAATTAGCAATAAATTTAACTTTTTACTTGTATTTTGTCTATTACCAATGAAACTGAATTTCGTATAACACGTTATTTGTCTTGTTTTTAAAGTTATCAATTGTTTGGCCAGAAAATAGAAATTTCGGTCAAAGTTTAATTTTAGAATAACTCGGGTTACTGATAATCAAATAAGGAAATAATTATGTAATGAAAAAGAAGAATTGAATTGAAAAGTAGCTGAGTAAGCGAGATAAAGCAAGGTAAATCGGTATATTCCAATAATAATCTGTGTCCCCATACAAATGTAATTCCTCTCCTTTTATAGTTATTTCTAAGTACTACGTTTCTTTTCTCTCATAATAGAGTTATTATGAGCAATTAATGACATTAATGTAACGTTATAATTGGCAATCGTAACTGTTTCGTGAAGATTCTATAACGTTTCCCATCATTGATGCTCTTTAATTACAGATAATACGTATCTGTACTTTTTGCTAGCTAGGTTCATTCCTTCGATATCTCTTCAAATTATCAAGAGATCCGAGTAACTGTTCCTTCTTGTTTTCTTGTACCTTTGCCCGTACCTAATAAAGCTCGCAACTCTTTGAATACTCTTTGCTAGCTGTCACTCTTTTATTGATCCACGTGTCTTGACATGTCAGCACATAATTTATTCCACATGTTAACTCGATTTTTCCCAATACAGATAGTCCCCCCGCTTGCCATTTATTCAGCAATTGAATATTTGTGAAGTGGATCTCATTAAAGCGGGAATTTTTGCCGCCATTCCACGTATCATTATACCTTCTCCAGAACTGACGCTTCGCATGTCACTTCCATTTAATGCATGTGACACGTGGCAGCTTTTGATTGGTTCTGCAACCCTTCAGCGTCTTTTAGGGCTTTTTTATGGCTACATCAATCACGAAGTGACGGTTTTCATTATGACGTTCCCATCATTACCTTTTTGTTTGACGGTTGCTTCTGAGTATAAATATATCCTTTGTCTCTTCTTTCATAGAAAAGTTTTCCATCTTTGACTATTCAATCTTCTTTTCTTCTTCGTATAGCTATGTCTTCTTCAAACCCTGATCCTCAAAAAAGTTCTTATCGTAGATGAACTTCCCCTTGCTCCTACAAGGAGCAGGAGAGGGGGTAGGTTACGTAGTTTAGGGTCAGTTTCCATTCGAGGTTCTTCTTCTTCTCTACCTAGCTCCACTCCTCCTTCATCTTCTAGAACTAGGGCTTCTCTTCCTCATAGGTCTTCTGCCAGAAGTAGGGATTCCAATGAACCAGTTCGTGAACCTACAGTAGACGAAATTATCCCTTCTGAACTTTCTTTTTATACTGATAGAGAATCAATTA